AAATGCATTTTTAAAACAATAACTTTTAACTTTTCCATATTAATAAATAAAAATAATAATAATATATTCTCTCAACACAAAATTATATGCATGGGAGTCTTAAAATCCTTAATACATTTTGTATCTTAATTTTGTGAGCGACTGGAGCCCGAAATTGGTTTCAGTCGAAATCTGTGTGACAGTTTATTATATTGTCTCAGGTCTGGGTGTTTAAGTTCGTCGTTTCATTTTTTGTTATATAGCGCTTATGGGTTTCTCTTACGCTATAATTACTTTTTTGAATAAGAGAAGCTATAAAATCTTCTAGAAAACAAAAAAGGCTTCGTAATATGTTCTTAGTATAATATATGCCGAATATGAATATCGATAATCGATTATAATCATTTCCTGCATATATGAAATCTCTGTTAAACCATAACAAAAATCTAATGCAATTTTACGAGACGAGTTTTTAAGGACTTTTCAATGTCACTGTGACTCAAAGGTTATCCAGTCGTGCACCTATATGATTACTAATCGATAATTTTGTATTTAAATTTACATACAGAATATTATAACATAGTGCACTCTATCAGCGTTGCTAAGAGGTTGCATAAAAGAGAGAAAATTTGATGAAACGGGTCCAACAATCGAGACGGATGATGATGTATCGCACGAAATTTCGTATTCAGATTTCAGAGTTAACTACATGACTACATTTCAGAACAAATTCCATCCAACATGCATATTTGTATGTGAACGCGAAAGCTACAAAAATTATTATTATGACTTCCGTTCCCGAGAGACTCGTACGCCGGTTTCAAGGTGTCGCCCGTCATCTCTGAGATCCCGGGTTCGATTCCCAATCTGTTCAATATAAAATTTATTTTTCTACATAGTCTTGCCATAATTATTGTTACATAGAAAATCAACAGATTTTTTATGAACGTGACGTGACATGTATTACTTTTAGAGTGTGTGAGTTTATTACATTAATATAGAGCCATAAAAATATATACAAAGCTTATTGGCTGCAATACTTTAAACGTTGAGGCCAGTTATCAATAGCACGCACTCTTTCCATGGGAAAATTCTTAACTGCAAAACGTATGGATTGTTTTAGGGACTCCAGATTATCATGGTGTTTAGAGCAAGGCTCTCTAAAACTGGCCATTAATCATTATTCAGTGAATTATGATTTGAACTAGATGACCACCAGTCAGTCTTAAGCTCTGATGAAGTCCGGAACGGTCGTTTCAAACTAAGATTAGGTGGAGCGAGCTTGATGACCTGACGCTGAATCTTGCTGAAAGGATTATTCTTGGATATTGTACATGGTGTTGTTATGGGGCTTAACTACCTTCTCGACGATGGTATCATGATACACTTGTGCTGATGTTTTGATGCCTTTTTCACGATAACATTGCTCGGTCACTCCTTCAAAGCTATCCCCATCAAACTATCACTGAATTTGGATAATGCCCACGTCGTACTGTGTTGACAGATTCGTAATTCTAAACTAATGTTTTGTTTATTTTATTTTTTGATTTTTTGTGTAATATGGCAGGCACGGCTTGTGCATTTTGCCAATGTCAAGTAAAATTTTGTTTTTTTTTTTTAAATTATAACAGTACTTATGGCCTAACAGTATATAAGTAAATTATCTGGATATTGTGATTTCTTTTTCTGACTTCCAGAATATAAGTGTTATATACTTGGGATCTGGGCAAAGTATGTGAAGATCCGAGGCAATATAGAAAATGTAATCTTCATTTACCTTATTGGAAGTCGACCCTGGAAACTTGAGAGATATCGACACCTTGAAAGTTGCGTCCGACTCACTGAATTATGAAAGTCGTCCAAAAACGTTATTGATACTTCTTAATTCGTTAAAGTTAGTTTAACAGGGGGTCAAAAATGGTACGAATGGCTTCTAGAAAAGGATGGTACGGCCGAGCCTTTTTACTTTTTGCTCGACTTGGTTGTATATCTATACAACCTAGTCATTGTAGGGCAGTGTTATCATAAACAAGGATAACTTTAAAAAAACGAGGATTTAAAGTTGAAAAAGCAACAAACAGTAAAAAAAGGACTCGGCAATATTCAGATAGATAGTTAAATGAAATAATAATGTACAAATTTTATAATAAAAGTAATTGGAAAACTAACTCTTTCTTCCTTCGTTCACAAAAACAGCAAAGTTGCGCACAATACTTTCAAGATTTGCAAAAGCGGCGATCTAATTTGAAAATACTTCAAAAACCCAGAACGTTGTTTAAAAAGTATTCCGGACAACACCAACCAAAAAAAAACAGGACATGTCCCGAGAAAACAGGCGGATTGGCAGTCCTGTCTTACGGGAAAGTTGATTTAAAATAGACTAGCGTGATCATTTCTTTTGAAAATACCTTTAATTGATTAATAACAGTTTCTTAGCACTTAAATAAATGAACACATCAAGATAACATCGTAACGTTGTTACAATTCTTTGAATAATTAAATGAGTTTATGATTTACTAGTGACACGGATAGTAGTTTTGTCATTAAAATTACATATCAATAGCGCGGTCGTATTAGTAAAATAGATAAGTTTTTAATAGCCTATCGTCATTATATTTCTTATAGACAATAGAGATTGTATACAAAAATATTTGTTTTGGAAAATCATGTTTTTTATAATTTTGTAATTAAAATATCTTTTTGTATGATTAGACATAGTGTAGCTGTGTAGCTGATTTTTTAATAGAAAGCAATAGAAAAGTAAATGCATTTTACTAGCACTGGTAATATAAAACTGTAATACCACAAACCAAACTTTCGATTGATTTGATCGGTTTTCTTGTTAGATAGATCTATCTATCTATTTATTTTACTGAATACTAATATCAGGTACTTGTCATCTTTTATAATAAACCAAACACTATAAGTATAGGTATTCTATACACCAAGTCAGACAAACAGTATAACCAAAGAGATTTCAATTGTGTAGTGCCAACAATGAAGTTTTTGTTAGTATTCATGTTATTCAATAAATGATAAATAATTCTCTTTGTTTCAACAATAGATATAACCTTTGACTGTTGAAAAAAATCTCGAACATTATTACTTACCACACGTTTTGATAAGTATGTTTTTTCTTTTATCCGATGTTCAGTTATCCGAGTAATTAGCATTGAAAACATGCTGTGATAATTGATTCAAAGAGTTTTATCAACAACATATATGTACTTGATAAATTGTTAGATGATATTTTATGTGTGTTAGAAGGAAAACAAATTCTATATTTATATTTGAAACTATACCGGCTTTTCTTAAGTCATTGTAGCCTTAATAAACACGGTGTAATAAATGTAAAAGAAAATTATCCTGTAATTATCCTTAAAATAGGAATGTGCAATTATTTTATTAACGGCTTTAATTTGACTCTGTGTGTAAATTGATGTGACCAAGGTATATCTACCATTATACCAAGACAGTAATATCAGTAATTACCTAGATAGCTGACAATTATTTACTTTAAATTATGTGACAAGTATTATTCATAGAGTATCTTTGGTATTATCGTATCGTTTTTGTTTTTACCCGACTACGGCAAGCGAAAAATAGGGTTATGATTTTGGTCGGTATGTATGTAAGAATGTTTATTTGTTCCCATTATGACTTCGAAAGTCATTGTTACTGGACAAATGAGGTATCATTAGAAGTGTCGTAGTTGTACACGTGCTATAGGCTATGTGGCTTTACATTAAAATGGCAACAGCGCCTTCTAGAGAGAATAAAGTAAGAAATTAAAAAATATATATTATTCAATCATTTTGTGTCGGATATCAAATGAAACGACTTAATTAGCACTATTATATTATGTCGTATGTGACTACATTTTGTTTTATTATGGTCAATGGCATAAGACTACGTTGTCCTTTGGTCATCGCTATTTATAATATAGCTATCGCTATAAAATAAATTTATTGTATCAAACTTTTTAGAGCGTGATTTAGCTGTAGTCGGGTTTTAGTTTTTTAACTTATATTATGTTTTAGTCGTTTATTTTTATATGTTTATAAGTAGGTTTTATTGTCAATTGTTAAAATGTAAATTTTTAGGGTCTGTAATAAACAAGGAACCCTTATAATTTCGCCATGGTCGTCTGTTTGTCTGTCCGCGGTTCAGCTCAAAAACTATTGCTTACTAGAAAGTTATAATTTGGCATGGGTATACACGTTAATTGCGCCAGCAAAGTGGTAAAGTAATTTTTTTTAGGGTACTTCCCCTACATGTAAAGTAGGGATGATTTTTTTCCCATCTTACCCATAGGGTGGGGCATCGTTGGATAGGTCTTTTGAAAATATTGCGATTGTGGGAAGTCACGTCTTTCGATTTAGTAAACCGTTTGTGACTTTATTAAACTTTAAAAAGCTTATTTTCGTTAGAGTCAAGTGTCCTCTCCTCAACCAATTGAATGGTCGTTGGTAAAAATTTAAACAGTAACACCTGTATATAACGAAGTTAAAAGGAAAACTATTATACTTAAGTTGGCTTTACAATTTTGAGAGTAATAGTCGACCAATTACTCGAAAATTTCGAACAACTTCATAGTTAACAGTAACATAGAAAACAATAAACGTGATTTTTTTTTAGTTTTTTATTGGATAACGGTACGGATCCCTTCTTGTGCGAGTCTTAGTCGCACTTGGTCAATTCTTTTTAGACTTAATTATTTTACTTGTAAGAATTAACATAATATCTATTCTATTTCTCCGAAAAACGAAAATTCGTATGCTTTAGATATGCTAGTACGACTACAATGAAGCGCATGTTTGATAATTTATTATTTATGGATGTGAATTATTAAAAATAATCTTAATAGGCTCTCAGGTGCCATATTAAATTCGTACGAGTTATACTAGAAAAATCATTAATATACAGATTATGACTGACCAGCTTTACTTAAGTAAAATTTCATGCACATCTAAGTATTTAAAGATAAAAAAAATATACATTAGCAAGATTTGAGTACTCACAGTTTCCGTTCATTTTGGCATGCGTCCCCTCCACACGCACTTCAAGTACTGGCACTTCGTTATTGTTATCAGTTAACGATCCAGAATTGAGTATATCATCGATTTCACTGTCAATTTCGACAACTACAACGTCACTGCTTTGCTTATTGCCGACGTGCTGCTCGCGTGCTGCGGTCATTTCAACTGATGTAAACACTGGCCCAACTGTTACCTGTGATCGTTCAAACAATACGCATTACGATACTGGACTGACGATGATTTTTAAGCCTTTTAGGGTCTAGCTGCAGAAAAGACCAATTAATTTTAATGAATGTTCTAAATTTGAAAATTTGTATCTATATTCTAATGACAACTTTATTGGCCGTTTGTGCAACTGGGTAATAGTGCATAATTACTATTGTTGGATATTTTTAAATCATCCATAATATCTCTTATTATCTTAGTAATATTAAAGACGAAAGTTTGTAGGTTTTGGATGTTTGTTACTTCTTTACACAAAAAATACAGAACGGATTTGTTATTAGTCGGTACGAGGATTATTCTAAGCTTCGATTGGCTTATTGGCTGCTCATTATTAAATGGTTCGCAAGGGATAATAAAGCACTATCAAGCCATTATGCAAACCATACGGGCGACAATAGTGAAGAGCTAAATTTTTATAAGTCCTTAAAGACTAATTTTGCATGAAAATAGTTTTCTTCGGCTAACTATAATACCTAAGAGGAAAATGTCACTTCACATCAAAGTTGTGATTTATTTGTTAAGTACTTAAACTGTGTAAATAAAAATTATGAGTTAAATGGGTACCTATACATAACTTTTCTGAAGGACTTCCGTAAGATTACTATGTTGTGTATATTTTTTACACATCAATTTATACACAGTAACTGAAACATTGTATTGTTATGTGTGTAGTTTTGTTATGAGCAATAATTTAATTTAATTTAATTGCTCCCATTAAAATTAATGTTACAAAGAAGTGTCAAGATATTACCGATCAATATAATATGTTGAAAGAGACTTTTGACGTCATGATGGATATCTATTACGTGTTTTTTTTTAATTATTAAATATAATATTGCCTTATTTATATATTGATGCAAATTCAGATGTACCACTCACCAAACTAAAACCATAATTTTGACAATGTTATAACGTTATATCCATAGTATGCATTATTGTACATTGCTAGGTTGCCTGGCAGAAATCGATAGCGATAAGGCCACCTATTGTATAATATTTGTTTGTTTTTTCTTTTATTTCTATTGTGTAATAAATAATACTTATAATATAATATAATTTACTTTTACGTGATTATCTTCGTTATTCTTACAGTCAACTTCACCTAATTTTATTTAGATATTAACCTAATTTTATTCTAATTTGTGCAACATAATTGCTATTAATGTATCTCTATTATTATTATTATAAGAAAATAATATTTATTTCAGCTCTTTAGGACACTACAGCAATGGTATTAAAGTCGCTACTTTTGTATTTTCTTTGTCGCTAGATTTTCTTTAACTTTGTCGTTTTGTTTGCGGTAGCTCAATTGGAAAACAACTCGCTCGGTTACCGAACGAACGCTTCGAGTTTAGCATGAGCGTCTATTCCCTAACTACACTTATATACAATTCATTGATATAGGTTTTAATCAAAATGCACTCACCGTCTAATACTGAGTTTTTTGATACAGTGTATACGCTCAAACATCAGGTTGCATAAATGCACTCAACATTCAATACTATTTTGATCGTTGAATTCATTTTGATTCAATTCGATGTAAAGGAAATCTATATTATAGTGTATGTCGGTATTTGAGAAAGCTGTTTTATTAATATTTGTCTAAAAGTATTTGCTTTCCTTTCTTCTATTTTCTAAAATGGAAAATTTACTAATAAAGCATTTAAAATAATAACCTATTTAGTTACATGTAAAATAATTCACTCTCACTCACTGCAAATTTCCCTTTAAAATTTGAAAAAGACATATTTAGAAAACAGAGTAAATATTAAACGACAGTATTTCATGGTAATGCCCAAATTGTTTTCCTGTGTATATTTATTCATTTAGCACCTCGCTTTATAGACACCTACGTCTTACTTTATAACATAGTAAATGATGACGTAAATTGAGTTATTTTTATCAGAACTAGTTATGCTGCCATTTGATATCAAATATTTTTATTTGTGATTTTTTTCTATTATAAGCTTTGTTTTAACTTGCCATTTCCTGCAAGTGATTTTAGTAAGGTAAGTAGTTTTCCAGCGACTTCGCCGACGTAATTCTAATTTTGAATATACAACTCGCGTGATAAAAAATTAGTTGAGTTAAATTTTTAATTTGGTCAAGTAGTTATGAAGCCTATTTTAATGCAAACTGACAAACCTTAAGCCAAACAAATAATAATAAAGATAACATATAATAAAAATAATTGATCAATTATGCATTCACAATGCTATACTAATTGAGTATTAAGAATATTTAATAAATAAAATAATAGACCATATCACAGCAGTTAGTTTTTGTGTTTACTGTATGTGTGACCCGACCGGTAATCGAACATGGAAACTCAGACAAACTGGCGTACGAGCCACTCGATAACGGAGACCATAATATTCATTCTGCACCAGGGATGTTACGGATATCTTATTTCGGTACGTTTACGGATACGGATATTTGAGAATAGTTAGGATATCGGTTTCGGTTGCGGTTACGGATATGATTTCTTTTCGGATTATCCGGTAATTTCGGAGAGTTTCGGTTACTGATACTAGATTTGGGTACTGAAAAGTATTTAATTTTTTTATATAAATAGAGCATGAATTAGTGGATACTTAATTAAGTAAATAAGACAAGGGATATACATTTTATAGAAATTTGAATCTATTTGTTTATTGGTATTGCAATAAAAAGTGAAATTATTGTATTGCAATTGCTGTGAAAAATTTAAATGTTAGTGATAAATTCCGTTCAAATTGCATTGAAAGTTGGTTTTAAAAAATATATACGATTTTTATGGGTATACTTTAACCCAATAATTAATTTTAAATACGTGATGATGAAGTTTTGAACCTGGTCAACGCCCGGATTGGGAATTAAAAAAAAATTGTTCTTGCAATTAAGTGTTTCTTTGCGCTTAGCAGCGTACCTATATTGGAATTATAAAAGTAAATCAGTCCGCACATTTATTTAACATAACTAAAGAATCGCGTTTTTCGATAATTTCTTAATAAATATTATGTCGTAATAGTTATTAGCTTTCTTTTTGTCATTTAGGGTTCTTAACTATTTCTTAAGGAACAGACACTAAACGAAATTGATCACAAACTCCAACCCTACTGATATAGTGATACAAAACCAACCACTCGAATATATCAATCAATCAAATCAAAATCAAAAATTATTTATTATTACATATTGTATTACATATGTATTATTACATATTGTGTTACATATTACATATTGCTTTAAGTCTTAGATCTCTGACCCCGAAACTAGAGAATCTGTATTATCAGGGCCAGCGATTCCTCGGTAGGTTGTTTATAAGGGAATGTGATGACGCTGAAAAACTTAACATAGGCAAGGTAAAGTCTTAAGAACTTTAGAAATGTGTGTGTGTATGTGTGTATATGTGCGTGCGTGCGTGTGTTTGTGTATGTGTGTAAGTGTGGGTGTTTGTATGTGGGTGTGTGTGGTTAGGTGAGTGGTGTATGCGTGGGTAAGCCTGTGATTAGATTTTTTTTTTTAAGTATGCTAAAGTTGAGTGAGTACCAATGTGCGTGAATATTATTTAGAGAATTAAATATTTAAATAGATGAATGGCATGAAATGTTTTTATTATTATAAATATTTAATATTCAACCACTTTTACCTTTCAATTCAAGAGGTTTTCTGTTTCTGTATAGGTGAGTTTCAGAAGGTAGCTGGTAATTTTGTTTTTCGCTTCATACCTGTTCAGGCAGTAAATGGATGTGAACTTGTGCAATTTATTATATAATACCGTGGAGAGTGCGTCAAATTGACGTTTAGCGAAAGTAGTTTTACAAGGTATTGAACGGTATACTTGAGCAGAAGCGCGTCTACGCGAGAAGGTATTAAAATCTAAGGGGAGAACAATGTGTCTCCGCAAAATACAGCGCAAAATAAAGAGTTGCCGGACGGTTAAAACCTGACATTCAGAATATAACATTTTAGTAGGATGTCGGATATGTTTATGAGTCATTACTTTTAGGATAGCTCTTCGATTGACATAGTGACAAGTACACAGTTTTTACTAATTCGGGTTCAGTTAATTGTCTTAATGTTTTAAATATATATATTAATTTTCGCACTCTTGTTTTCAAGGCTTCTATTTGGGGGTGCCATTTTAAATTGCTATCAATATGAATACCGAGATATTTTACACTGTGTACAGTGCGAAGTGAAGGGCATCCGCAGTTAGGTGTCGAGAAGTTGCAGGTGTGAATTGCTATCTTAGAATCTTCAGGTGGGGCGGCGCCAGCCAATGTAATAAAGAAGGAAAGTACCTGTGTTTTTTCTGAATTTAGTGTAAGTTGGTTATCGGAAAGCCAATTAGCGACTTGTTTTAATGAAGTCTCTGCGTATAGTTTGGCTTCTTTCCAGTCATTACCGTGCACCAAAAGTGCGGTGTCATCGGCATATACATATATATTGCAGTTTTGTAACTGGAGTTTATTATGTATATTTGAAACAAAATCGGACCCAGTATGCTGCCCTGTGGCACGCCAAAGTCAATTGCTTCTGAATGACTGATGTGTTCGTGTATTTTAACGGACTGTGTGCGATTAGTAAGGTAACTTCGAAACATATCCAGTTCTCGACCTCGAATGCCGTTGCGCTCCAGCTTGTTGATAAGAGTGGGGGTTGATACCGTATCAAAAGCTCTGGAGAGGTCCAGGAAGATCCCGAAGCATTTTTTCTTACTGTCCAGTTTGTGGACAACCGCACTGGTTAGGCTAGAAATTGCATCTTCGGTGGAAACACCCGATCTAAAGCCAAACTGGTTTTGCGCTATTAGTTTATGTTTTCCTAAAAAGCTTACCAAGGCTCTGCTAAGAATTCTCTCCAAGATCTTAGACAGAACCGGAAGGACTGATATTGGCCTTTAATTTGCGATATCATTCTTATCCCCTTGTTTGTAGATAGGACTGATCAGACCCCTTTTCAGCGCTTCAGGAAAGACTCCAGTAGCAATAGAAAGATTGCATATGTGTGTAA